TGGTTAAAGTAGTCGACTGCTTTATGGGTGAGAAATGCTTTGTTGTAGAGGGAGTGTAGACATGCCTTACTTGAATGCCAGGAGAAGGAGATGTATGGATGTTGCATTCAGCTAGTTAAGACAGATTGAAATAATAGTTTAATGACAGAACATTTCAAAGTTCTATGTAAGTGCTTACATAAAAAAAGAAATGCATGAAGTGTAACGTCTTAAGCTGTTCCTTAAATGATGCTAAGTTTTCTTGGTCAGAAAGTCTATACTACCACAATGAAAATTTCAGAAAAACAAGGTATTATTCTTAAGCAATTTTACTCTCAATAACAATTTTTTAATTGTTATAAAAATAAATCTATTACATGAAGACTTCAATGTGTCAAAGCACTGGAAGGTTATTCCAATCAAATATTCATGGTATAGGGAACATTAAGCTAATTTGTTTCTAAAAGGTACAAATAATTTTTTCTTCTATGACTTTAAAAGTACAATAAGAAACTTGTAGAATTTGTAATATGTAAATAAACAACAGCTAAGCAAGGACTTAAAAAAATCAACATGCACTTATGGGCATTATGGACTTATGGAAATTATATAATTTTCATCTCTGCAATTCTAGGAAATTGTATGAAAAGACGGCTAAACTCAAAAATCTCATGATCAGGCCCTCCCTGGTGGCGTGGCGGGTTAAAGCACTGCACTGAGAAGCTAAAGCAACTTCTGCATGAGTTCGATTCCACCTGCCCTGGAGGTGACCACATGGCGTGGCAGACCTCTCCTGACCCGCCCGCTGCTCCCCTCAGCAGTGTACTTCGTCGATCTGCCTGTTCTGTTCCCCACTCTGTCTCTGGTGAAGCCTCTCACCACCCCTGAGCCTTTGGCCTGTACCCCAGTTCTGTATGTACAAATAAATAAATTAAAAAAAAAAATCTCATGATCAGAAAGGAATAAAATACCACATAAAAACAAAACAAATGCAGATATTTATACCATAACTTTCAACCTTTAAATAGGACAGATGCCACCTCCAGGTCTGAGTTAACTTGATCTTGAATATTTTTACTATCTTCTTCATTTAAGGACTTCACAAATCGAGAACACACATTCATATCAAATCGGTTAGGCAATATGAACTTCATTCCCATGGCAACACCCTGAGCTGATCCTTCTTCTGCATTTGAGTCCAGTGGATGTTCTATTTTAATGTCTGGCATGCCTGCTAGACTATAACTGTTGGGACACTCTTCCACCTTCAGTGGGGTTCCAATATCAAGATCTGTTGATGTAGCCATGATTTCAACTGTAGTTTCAATAATTAAAACATTTCTTCATGATTTTCTTATAGTTTTATAAGAGTGATATCCAGTGTATTCTTGGAATTTGGATATTAATTCTGAAAATATAAAATTTAAGTTATATTAATTTATGTAAAAGTACATACACAAAATGATAATTTTCAATCAAGCATGCAAATAATACTCTTCAAATGCTTAAACAGAACAGAGAGCATATTATGGGGGGTGGAAAAACCTGGATATGAATCTAAGCCTCACTATTTATTAGCTGTGTGAAACTGTAAGTTACACAGACTCTCTAAGCTTTAGTCTGTAAAATCAGGCAAAAAAAAAAAAAATTAACTTCACAGGATCCTGTAAAGACCAAAATGAAACACAGTATATTGTCACCTCCATTACTAGGTTCCAACAAATTTTATTGATAATTATCCTTTTCTCCCCTTTTCTATTACTGAATATTGCCAAATGGATAAAAGATCGATTTCACATGAATGAAAATAAACTTTTACATTAATGTTTTAAAATAAGTTTTAACTTCTTTTTTTAAATATGTTTACATGCAGTTCTCAGTTTGATTTTAATGTAGAACTCATGTTGTACTCAATTCTATTGGAATCCTGAACACTCATGATTCCTGGATAGTAAAAGGTTTTAAAAGCTTTGGGTATGATGAACTGAAGAAATATTTAGCAGTTTTTATTCAGATCAAGTAGTGGCAACTTATTATAGGTTCTTATGAAAAATAAAGTATGTAGATTATAGACTGTTTTTTGCTTTAGCATCTCTAGGCTACTAGGGTCAAAGTATAGTTTTTATCTCAATCTCTGTAGTATTAAGAAATAGGAATTACTGATTTTTTTTCAACTATGGTATCTAAAAATAGAGCATTCCTATTTGACATGATTTGGTAGGTTATTTTTTGGGCTGTGAACCTTATTACTATTAATTTATATGGAAAATAATTTGTATCTTCCCAGATGAAAATCATACCAAATAGAAACAGTACTTTCAGACAGCACAGCAGTGGAAACCTGTAAAAAGCATTACGACATGAACTCAATAAATGCTAATTTTCATCTGTTGCTGAACATTTAAAATTGTTTTAAAATGAGTTTTCAGTAATTGCTGGCACATTCCCCTGGATCTTAATTTTTTTAAAAAGAAATTTCATTATTGTACCTAAAATTGCTTCTAAAAAGCGAAGAATTCAAGATATATAATTATCCTAGATTATATAATCACTGAGAAAGAGAAAATGAACATTTAGTTAAATTTTCATGTCAGGGCTTACTGTCTTTAGAGAATTTTGAGGATACACGGTATTTTAAAATAGGAATTAAGAGGGGAAAATGTGTATGACAATGGAGCAGAGTTTGGCAAGTCGTACATAGAGAACCACCACTTCCAGTTTTAAGACATTTTCTATGGTTGATTTTTTTTTTAATAGCAGTCCTTTGAGTAGGGCAGATAATCATTCTGTCCAGTACAGAGGAGGGACACAAGAAGTTTAGTTTTGAGGAAACTATCCAGCTCTTCTATCACACACTCCATTAAAACAGGAAGTACTAAGGGCCCTCCCTGGTGGCACAACTATGGCACTATGAAGCTATCAAGCACGAGTTCCATCCCCCGCCAGGGGGGGTGACCCACATAGTGCGGCAG